TATACAGCTAATGTGCCTGCAGCCACTTGCCCATTTAAATTTAAACAAATAAATGGAATAGAAATCCCATTTCAACCATATCTTTCCTTCTGTGAGAGACTGACCTATTGGGATGTTGAAAGATACTTCTCTGAACAGGAAAGATAATGATTCACCCATTTTCTAACATGTAAAATTCTTCAGAATTCTACATTGTTAAAATCATGAAACATTCAAATTTTACATTTTTCTTAAATTGTATTGTCTATATCCCAAATAAAGCAAAAGAAAGACAAATACCACAATGATGATTAGGGTAGTCATTTCCTTTTTTAAATTTTTTTTTTTAAATTCTGAATAGGGAGTGGTTGTCATGTCCTGGGAAATCTTTAAGAATAAGCCTGTTTTGTTTAATGAGCAAATATTTGAGGGTTCGTGGATTTATACATTGTTTCCTAAAAGTTTAGAGTGAAAATATATTTGTACATAAATAGTTGTTTCTATGGTGTGTGTGAGAGAGCATGAGAGAGAGAGAGAATGGTAAAGGGCAGATAATGGAGGGAATACGAGGAAGGAAAGGGTAAGAGAGAGAAGCACCACAACAATAAATGAAATTTCAAATGTTTGGTACAAATGCCTGTTGACCTTAGAAATCTAAATAACCAACATTTTAAATGTGAATTCCCAGTTTTACCAAAATCTGATACTCCAAAGGCACTGCATTGAGAAGGCTGCACCTGGGAGTCATTCCTAGCTGATTCTCCTCCACGCTGGGAACCCAGAAGACAATACTTTTCTCTTGTCACCAACTCTGGGCCTTTCTTTCTGATTTATGAAGGAATATCAGAGGAATTAATATGTACAACTTGAGTAAACAATGACTATGAAGGGGTATGCTAATTATGTACAAGAGTTTAAGAGGTGCATACATGAGGAGGCTGAGGAGTTGTTTAGCTTGGTAGCTAAATATTGCCAGGAGATACAAAAGCACATTGAGCAAAGGGAGATTGAAACTAAATACTAGATCCCAGAATAAATATAATACTCGGCGATGTGAGCAAGCTTGTGGAAATTGGTTGAGATGTTTAAAATACCAAAATACTAAAATTTGCATTTCAAGTAAACATTCATGGAAGGGCAGAAAATAATAGATAGGAACAAGAGAAAGACCCAAATTGTTGCCATATGGCTAGTCAACCTGAGGAAGGTAAGCAGAGGTTAAGTGTCAGTTTCTGGCCTGAGGGTCTTCTAAAGGTTAAGAAAGTAAAAAGAAATGGTGGCAGGGTCCTTGGGCCGAGTGATTTGAAGGACAGGGAAGGAGCAGGGGGATCTGAGAGCATTTTAGAATTTTGAGCCTCAGGATTCACATGGTATATTCCATGCCTTAAAACAAGAAACTACACTTGCTGAGATGAAAGGAATGGCGTTGCATTATGCCTGTGTTCACAGAAGACTCTGCAGGTTTCTGAAACAATAACCCAGCACAGAAGTCCTTAGGACTTGACCAGAGATGCCCCCTGCAGCCTTTCAACAGCAGCGTACTCAGCACACCCTTTCTTTCCCAGTAAAATGATACTCTGTTAGGATCATTAAAAGAAGAGTAGAATTTTACACCAGCTTCTGTTCCAAAAATATTTAGCCACCTTTCAATACTAAGCTCAGTTTTCTTAGCTATATAATGAATCAAATCTGAGTCTAGTATATACTTGTGTTTCCTAATACATCTCAGCAATTTCTCAGTCTGTTCAGGCTGCTATAACAAAATGCCATCAACTGCCAGGCTTTTAAACAACAGAACTGTGAAATATTTCTCAGTTCTGGAGGCTGGGAAGTCCAAGGTCAGGGTGTCAGCCAATGTAGTGTCTGATGAGGGTCACTTCCTGGCTCACCTCCTGGTTTGTAGATGGCCATCTTTGCACTTGACCTCACGTGGAGGAAAAGGCAAAGGAGCTCTCTGGCGTCTCTTATATAATCTCATTCATGAAGGTTCCTTTCTTATGATCTAATCACTTCCAAACTCCCTACCTCCAAATACCTTCACTGGGAAGTAAGATTCAACATATAAATTTTGGAGGAACACAAGCATTCAATCTACAATAAGCTAACTCAAAATGTTTATTGAGTAATCCATGCCAAATCCTGCCCCAGTTCATGGGGATATTATGTGTAAAACATGGTCCCCAAGGAGCTTACCATCTGAAACTCTGGGTTTCCAGCAATAGAAAGATCCCATTTTCTATTAAATTACTGTGGATTAGTAATAAATTCCCAAGTGGAGTAGTAAAGGCAGTGATTTGTGGGAAAAGCCTCCAGTGTGAGTAGGACAGAGTAGCAGGTGGTACCAGGGCTCGCAAGAGTTTCAGATGGAGGATCCTTAGGGTAAGTAAAGCAAGAATGACGACAGGGAGGACCCAGCAATGTTGTTCAATATTTAAAATTCTCACCAGGCTGGTTGGATGAGGGAAAACAAATCTTTCTTTGGTTTGCAGCTTCAGACTCCTCCACTCCGATGAGACACCTCCGTACATAGATGCAGCCACAGGAGTGGAGAGGCTATCTCAAGACCAGCAATAAAAGATGTCTCTGCTTCCTGTGTGGGTCACTTATGGGAAGACTCCCCTTTCATCCTCAAGTAGTACTGAGGCAAATTCTTCCTCAATGACATCAGATTAAACCTTTACCTATTTTATTATCTGCTTATCAGGAACATAAAATAACCATATTAGCATGTAAGCATACCAGGCCTCAAACCCAATAAATAATGCTTTGTTTTCTCTCATTCATTTTAATATTTACTTTCATAGGTGCCATCTTCCTGAACTGGTGGGGCTTTCGTTGGTGCTACTAAACTAAACTTTTTCTCTCTTGCAACTGGTTGATTTATTTTAGAATGTCAAAAGATCTAAGACCCACAACCCACCATTTCTGGGTATTTTCTGAGAAGTGAAATCATTGCTATCAACCATCTCTAAGATTATCTCTCTTCTTCTGACATCTCTGTACCCACTTGGGAATAAGTTTTATGTATGTGTGGAGGGCAGGAAAGAAATCCTAAAATATTCTGAAATCTTCACTCTTTTTTCATTGTAATCTACCATTATTCTCAAAACCAATAAAGTTATCTTACTGCCTATTCTGCCTGTGCTCTCCAGATTTTTAATGTGCTGCACCTTTGTCAGCCTGCTAAATAACAAAACTCATTGTCACAATTGCCATTGGCCTGCAGGGTATCTGTGTTCACCCAGAAGATTCTTAGCATTGAATACTTGGCCTGACTGTCCGTCCATAGATGCACATATATGAGAAAATTCTCTTTTTTTCTTCAAGCCCAAATTCTTCTCTATTAATCCAAAAAAGTGGCCTATTACCCTTTCTAAGAGTTCTGAGTTCTGACTGTTCACTTGAATGTGAGAAGGGAAAAGTAGCATTGGGGAAAAAACACAGGAAAAATACCTTACAAAAAATATCCAACTATATACTATAGACTACTTAAAAAAATTTTTTTAGTAGGGGCATGTGCTTGGTAATCTGTAGAACTTCCAAATCAAATTATATTACTATCGCCTGTTTGTTGCTGGAATTGAAGTTTCCTCAAAACTGGTGGTATTGATAATTGACAGAAGCTTAGAGTATTCCAGATAATTTTGTTATCAAGTGTTACCAAAGAGCCCCTATGTTCTATTGGGGGCCTAGTTAACTGACTTTGCTGACATATTTGGACAGTAAATTCATCTCCTTGCTAGTTGTCTATTATGTTAAATTGGCCATCAGAGAATATTCAGGAAAAGAAAACAGTTGGGGGCATTTGAGCAGAGCTAATAATTGGCACCATTTAGTGTAGGATAACAAGATCCTATCATGGTGACAGGACTCTTTAGCACCTTCTCCAGATGCTGTATCCCAACCCAAGCAGCAATGAGTTTTGAAGTTTCGGGTGAGGGGGACTCAATTTTGATCAAGTCTAAGTGCATGGGTCTTTCTGGCCAATCTCTGGCTGGACCCTTCCTGCTGCCCAGCTTCATTTCCTTTTTACTTCTCTTTCTCCTTTTCCTTTTTCTCCCCATCCACTTCCTCTTCCTTATCTCTCTCCATCTCTTTAGCAAGAAACTCAAGTGATTATATTCTGCATGTGGGGTTTAAATAAGCTCGCCTATATTGAGATTTCTTTACTAAAATGTACGCATCCCACTTTGCAGATCTTTCCCAAAAGGGCCTCCATATTCTGAACCCTAGTTTTTCACCCAATAACATTTAGCTCCCTACCTCTCAATCCTAAGTGACATAGTTTATCACAAAACACATCATTGGCCACCATACTCATGCTTCTTGGCCATGGCTGGAAAGCCTCAGAGATGATGTAGTTTGATACAGAACAATGAAAACCACAACTACAAGACAGGGGTTAGCACATGATCCTTTTGAACAGAATTTCACATGATCTAGAGAAAGGGTAATGGTTTCTCAAAGCAAGCCACTTCTCTAATAATCACTTTGGTGTAAAGCACACTTTGTAGTACAGTGTCATTAATGACATCAGCGCTTCACTCACATACCCTCAGAGCACTTTACAGCTTGTGTGCACCTCCTGACAGCCCCGACTTTGTTCCAAACCCTTAACCAGCGACCAATGGGTGTGGACACATGAGCCCTCCAGCTTCTTGCCTCAGCATCAGGACAATTTTGAAGTGGGACAGGTGCTGCCTCCTGACCTCCCTGAAAGATCAAGTCAAAGTTGGTCTCTGTGGATTTAGGTTGGCATCACATCCCTACTTGGATTCTATCTCCTTTAGGTCCCATTTCTCCACTCTCCTTCCAGTATTTCCTGAGAACACTTCCCACTTAATCACGTTCACAAGGCTTTTTGTCTTGGGGTCTGTTTCTGTGGAATCTGACCTCAGACAAAACACATCATCAAATTATTGAAAAGCCATGTGGATTTATTGATTTTTAAAAGAAAAAGGAGGTGATCTGCTGCATATTTTAGACTTTTAAAGACAATCATGCAAACCTCTGTTTTTCAGGAAGAGAATTTGAAGGAGAAGAAGAATATCTGGAGATCCTCGGCATCACCAGGGAACAGTCAGGCAAATATGAGTGCAAAGCTGCCAACGAGGTCTCCTCAGCGGATGTCAAGCAAGTCAAGGTCACTGTGAACTGTGAGTATGGCAGGGTCAGCAGGCACCATGTGCCAGAGCATGCCTCCACCTCCACTGAGCTCCAGTGATTCCATTAGCAAAAGAGCATTGCATTGCACACAGGTGGCCCTCCAGTCAGGGATGCACATTTATGCATTGAACACACCCAAGGACGAGACTTGGCCTTTGAATTTGACATATCTACTCTACCAACTCTAAATGTAATTCATAATACATTTAACAATACCCTCTGTCTTTTACTCAGTCTAAAGAATTAAGAAAACATGATCAGACAGACAGTACTAATGTTTCTGGCAGTCACTATTCTGGTCTTTGTGGAAATCAAGGTCATACGAGTTTGGAAAAAGCAACAAATCATATCTGCTTTAAGTGGAATTTCAATCTCAATGCATTGTTTGTCAGAAGGGAATACCTGAAGATTATATTGTATCCTCCACTATTTAACTAATTAGCCTTGGGAACAAATTTAAGCCACTATGGTCAGATACCGTAAGTCCCTGATGGCAACACAGATACCTGACAAGTTAATTTGGGTTATCTATTTGTCCCAAAGCATGGGCATTAGAAAGGAAGATTTCACTAAGATGCATAGGTAAGCAGGCATACTTTGAACTTCTCAGATGAAAGGATTCTTAGATGTAGTTCAAAAGGGGGAGGGGGGAGGCTACGTATGATATGTGTCACCGAGCAAAGGAATAAAGAGAATTCCTTTATCCTGTTCTGTTAGGAGTGACTTTCTTCATCATTCAAATTCAAGTTCTCACATCACATAATTGTGGCCAGTGACAGGGACAAAGGTCTGTTCTCACAGTTCTCTTCTATGCATTTAACCTACACACACTGCATACACACAGATATGCACACCTGACTCACAGATACCCAGATATACATGCACAAATGTCTTAATCTGTATTTGAAATTATCCTTTAGGCCATAGTGAGTTGCTTTCTGTCATTTTATGTCCTCCATACAGTTGCCTTTGTGCCCAAAATTCTATGCAAATTATTTCCGTTCTTCTTAACAACCCTGACAAGGTAGGGTTGAAATTGAGGTAGAATGGAATTGAGTCCATTATAGAGCGTAAGAAACTAGAGCTCCAGGAGGTAAAACTGCCCATCTAAAAGCTGATATAAGAAACGGGACTTAGATTCGGGTCCACTTGATTCTAAAGCCCATGCTCTCATGAAAAAGGGGAGGAGAAGGCAGAATTTTCCATTTTTCTTATTTACTATATGCAGCACTGGGGTAAGAGATTTACATTTGTCGTTTAACATATGAGATGACATGGATAAGCATCACTAGTCCTTAGTAATTTGGAAGCTGAGGCTCCGAGAGCTGAGGAAATTTGCTTAAAGTGACTCAGCCTGTGCTAGGAGGCACTATCACCTGTGGCCTTGCCTCAGGCTTGTAGCCTTCTTCAACAAGCAGCAATGACTCCTCACCATACTCAGAAGAATCGAGATCTGACTCTGCTGTAGTTTGTAGTACTCCTTTCCGAGAAACAGGAGCTGCATTGCGTGAGCTCTGAAGTGCTTCTATTCCTAGCTGTCTTTGAATTTTTTAGTAATAGAGTTTTGAAATGCCAGTTATTACTATTCTTTTCTAGTGCTGGGTGTGTTTCAAAGACACATTAATGATCGCAGTGTTATAATGTGCTTTAGGACCTTTTTCACATGAAAGGCAACTTCTCTGGATGTTTGTGTAAGTTTATAATTAGGTTTGCTTCTTTTATGTACACATAACCATGCCATCATCTTCCATCTCTTTGCTGACTTTTACAGTCAAGATTTCATTTTCTCTTAATTGACCTTCATCTTAATTAGATTTCAGAAAGTCCAATCATGGAGTACATAGAAAATATTTATGCTTCCATTGTGTGAAACATCAAAGTGGTCTGGATTGCAGATGGTTCCCAAGATCAAAGCTAGCTGCCTGGGCCCTATTATTATTAGCGCAATTAGTCTGACATTGCTCTTCTTGACTGTCCCCAAAGTGTAATTTAGAACAGAAGAAAATACTGATAATTTTTAAGAAAAGACTTTTATGGAAATGTGAGCTTTTGCTAGCAATGTATTAACTACAGAAAGATATAGCCAGAACCTCAAGATTCTAAAAAGACAACTGCTGAATGATATGGAAAATTAGAGTTGAGTCAAACATCTAGTGTGTCCTAAGCAGCGGGACGTAACATATACCTGACCTTATAAACATTACTCAGAAAATGTTTACTGAGTGAGTAGGTGAAAAACTCACGGGTAAACTTGATCTTCTTAACATTTCTCCAAACTTTGCAAATGATACTGATCATGAATCAGGAAGAATATTCTAAGATCAATTTCCTTTGGAATCACCTTTTTTACCAAAACTTCATACGCTGTTTTTATGTTGTGTTAAAACTTGTCATCATACCAGTTGTCCGGTTTAAGCAATTCATCCTACTTAAATATAATTGTATGAAGCAGATGAAGTCTCTAAGATTGAATTATAAAGGCCAAGTTTGCCTAACAAAACTCTCACATACGGAGAAATATCTAGGATCACCTCTCTCACTCTATCTAAGCCTGTCTGCTATGAAATGTCTTATTATTTAAATGAATTTCTCTACCTTTTCAAAACAGTCTTTGGCACTAAGTCAGGGGATCAGTATGGCTAACATAACTACTGGTTGAATAGGTTATTCTAATGAAAAGACCTTGAGTATCATTAGAATAAATAAATAAATAAACCCCAGTGATGGTAGCTTTCTTTCACCAGCATGTCGTCAATTCACTTACTCAGTTGCCAACAGATGCTTGTTGCAAGACACTGAATGGTAAAACAGGAAACCAGGCATGTAACACTTTCTCCTATTGTGCTCACAGACTGGGTTCCATGGTCTCTTCATTTTACTTCCTTTGGAGACCTTTCTTTCCACTTGGTCTACAGCATTGCACATAGGCCTTTTATATGCAAAATCTATTTTCTAATTGGTAAGAGGTCCCAGAATTTACAGAAAACTGAAAATTGGCTCAAAATGGCATCACTTAAATAAGCTTAGTAAAATTTATACAATAGATACATGACTTTAGACTTTCTGTATCTTACGCACAATACAGCTACAAATTTCTTTCAGTAACTCATCCTCAGGACAGTCCATCCTTTCATTGCAAGTTCCGGGTGTAATTCCTCCCTTTCAGTTCTCAGAGTACATTTAAAGTATCTGCTTATAAGTTTATCTCACCCTAGTACCCAGTATCCTGAGGATAATATCTAGCACAGAATAAATGTTGAATAAATACATATTATTAATTTTATCTGGGATATTTCTATACTGGACTGTTTTTTTACTACTGAAGAAATTCTTCTTAAAAGCTGTTTCCAGCTCTAAACCCTGCCCCCACTCCACTGATCAGCTCCTGATCTCATCTTCTGCCTTCCCATAGCTCTCTTTCTGCAAATAGGTTCACATGAGCACTCCTCACAACTTCCTTTTCCTTTACTGATTTCTCTTTGAACTCAGCTCTGCCTCCAGTCTGGTATCCAGAGCAACACAGGTGCTTAGAGACCTAGGATGTTGATATTTTAAATGTACGCTTACTCTTACATCTGATAGCCACTCATTTAGAGGAAGCAGATACAACTGTGACTGAAAAAAACTTTTGCCTCCAGATAATGTACTACATACATGTATTTTTAACTGGAATATTTAGTGCTTTGATCCAAAAAACAATCTAGTAAAGAAACTTTAGGAAAACAATTTCATAGGAAATCTTCAGTGGGAATTCAGAGTGTTATAACTTCATACTGTAATTTTGTAAGAGACAATTTTTGAGCACCTGCAGAATCCCAAAATTATATCCTTAGACTTCAGATTCATTCACTGTCATCATCACACACTGACAGTGGCCAAGGAAATGGGGAGTGAACTGGGCCTGGTCTTCCCCAGCCAGGAGAAGTACTTACTTTATCCCAGACCTTGTTAGTATGTTTAGTTTAGTATTGCTAGTACATGGTGATTAAAAAACAAATAAAAACAACTTAGTCTTATTATGGTTCCTAAACTCTCTACAGACAATGACTTTATTATTGCTTGTACCCTCTGCCTCCGCTGCCTTGTAATATCACTGCACACTAACCCTGAGATAGAATCAATAGGAGCTCCATGTAGTGAGGCCAAGAACAAAGCCCAGCAAATGTGCATATTTTCCACTGCAAAATCTAAGAAATTGTGAGTGGTAGACTTGGGACTCTACCCCATGTATAACTCCAAAGCCCTCTGTCCTTCCATTAAAACATGAGAATAATTGTAGTATAAAATAATAAATGTAATCCCTTTAGATATTAAACGTGCAGTCATATGAATGACCTCATTAGAGGTTGACATCAAACCCATGAGATAGGTAGGCAGGTGTCATCATCTACATCCTGAAAAGCTATAGGAGGATGTCACATCTATGGGGACAACCTGAGTGTCACAGGTGGAAACTAAAGCTGCATGCGTCTCCTGACTACTAATGCAGGTTTATACCCACCATGTCACCACAAGTTGGGCTGCTTGTTGGCACCCTGTAAATAGCACAAAGAGGAAGCATTCATCTTTCTACCTACTAGCATGTTCTTATTAATATTATTTTTCCTTATTAGGACTATATTGCTTTCTAAAACAACTCATTCAAATAAAAGTGCTAGAGCAGAGAGACTCAGAGCATGGGTTTCAGAACATGATAGACCAGGGTTCAAATTCACACTCCACCAAATACTGACCATGTGAATTTGGACAAGTTCCTCTCCTTCTTTGGTCAAGGCCTCTGCAGGTCTGTCTTCTCATTCATAAAAAGGGGGTAATAATACTTACCTTCTAGGGCTATTACTTGAATGAAAGGAAGACTAAAGCCTAGTAGAATGCTGACATATGGTCAATGCCTATAAATTAAAATCTTCATACTATTATTCCCAATAGTGGTAATGTTAAATGGATGAAATTTTGCTTTCTATGCCACTTTTGCTGTTATTTTATTTGTTCTGATTGAAGGAATCTTGTCATTGATAATGTCAGAAGAGGAAAGGCCCTATTAATATTGTCAGAACCTGGAATAAAAACTGAAAGAGTCCTTTGACAATTGTAAACTCTTTCAAAGTCACATAAGAAATAACAATGGACCTCTCAGTACAGCACTTTTATGAAGCCACATTTTTATTATAGCTATATTTTAAGCAAGGACATCTATTATTTTAACTACACTGGGCCTGCTGAAGTACGATTTATAACAACCTTTCTTAGCCTCACCTATACAGAATTCATTATAGATGAATTTTGAAATGTTCATCCCAATAAAACATAAAAGAATACATCTGCACCATGTTATCATTTGAGAAATATTAAGAATGATGATCTTTTTGTACATTAATCAACTTCCATGGATTTACCCTGGCATACAAAATTTCCTGTGCTTTTAAAGAGAAAAACAAGTGGTGGGACTTTGGAATGGGTGTCATCCTGTTCCAAGATAATGCACTTACAAGAGCTCAACCCTATTTTACCACCAGCTTCCCTATGCTGGGGTCTCTGAAGGGCTGACAAATAGCTTTCTACTTAGTCTCTCAGCTTCCAGATAACTTTAGAAATAAGTAAAGAAATAGTCTGAGAGACCTAATGTTCCTGTTTCTAGAGGCCAAGGTGGTTAGAGACAGTGGCACAGCGTGGCCGACTCACTTTCTCGGTCATGGCAGCGCTGGGCTGGGGCAGACCTGCCCATGGAAAGCAGGAAGGAGAAACCCCAAGTAAGATGTGGGCATGGAGAAACAGAGGAGATTTCTACTCCCTGAGGAAATCTTGGTCCCCAAAGAAAGAAGGGAAAGAGGTAAGCCGAACAGGCCCAGTGTTTTCTTCCCAAAATCTCGATCAGAAAAACCATTTCTTTCCTCTGGGTCCTTGAGCAGTAGGGACAGTAAATAAGCTCCTGCCAAATAAAAGGAAACCTTCAAAGTAAGAAAGAACTCTCTAGAAACGTGAACAACTAGGACCTACATTCCTGGTCTCATGCCAGAGGGGCTTAAAGGCATTGACCATGTTAATATTATCTTGAGGTGCCACAGCTGTGAACCTCAGAGGTGTGTGTGATGGTAGGAAGTGTGGAGTCTGGCTCAGGTGTAGGACAGGTTTAGCACAATAATAGTCGTCA